GCCTAGTGACTAGTTCCAAACCTGGAAGGCAGGTGTCTCCATCGTGGCCTCAGCTGACTACCTTCTTCCACCGTTTACCATCTCCTGCGTACACAAGCACACAGTGAAGCTTCTGACACGTGCTGATATCATTATATACCTTCTCTGCAGGCCACTTCTAAGAATTTCTTGCTATGAAAAAACATTTGCAAATTCTGTGCTTTCAGTGAAACACTGATATACTTTGATTATAGTTGCACGAAGAATTGTGGTTTACATCCTAAGACATGTAGGAAATTTTCTAATTGAGAACATTTATTCCAGAAGCCTAAAGTTCACCCAAACAAATCTCAAAGTTGGAAAAGTTCCCAGCTGTCTTCCATGAGGAGCATGGGCACTCTCCACCTCGCAGTTCAGGAAGTGGCCTTTTAAAATTTCAGCTTCAGGCTTTATTTGATGACTTGCAGGTTCCTAAAAGGCCTCACCCTGAGACTGTTGAGAGGGCGCAGACCACAAAGCTCTGGACTTGAAGCTTTGTACGTTCTTTCCTGAATTCCTCGTGTGTGTGTGTGTGTGTGTGTGTGTGTGTGTGTGTGTGTGTGTGTGTGTGTGTGTGTGTGTGTGTGTGTGTGTGTGTGTGTTTGTGTGTATTGGGGACAGACACCTGTTCCCTCTGACTTGCCGTCAGGTGACCTGAGGACCAGGGAAACCTAAATGTGAGCATGGAGCTCTGTCCCAAATGTTGCTTTCACAAATGTTGTCTTCAATACGTCATCGATTCTGTAAGCCTGAAAAATTGGGCTCTGTCATTACCTTGCAAAGGTCATGAGCAAGTCTTTCGTTTTACTGGGCCTCAGTTTCCTCTACTGACACAGAAGTCAACTGGGCTGTGAGCAGGAAAGCATGAGAAACTGAAGGCTTGCTTGCCTTCTGCGGCTGCCTTGCTGTCTCTGGTGGTTGAGAAGATTTCTAGCCTCTTACCCTCACCCAGGAGAATGTTCAGGAAGGTCTGTATTTTCCTTTTGTATTTGTTTGAGATACGGAGATTAAATCTAGGACTTTTACACGAGCTATAAATTCTCTTTTAATTCTTTTTGTGGGGCAGAGGGGGGTAGGGTTGCCTTGGCTGGGCTCAAAGTTGCAGTCTTCCCATGTTGTCCTCCCAGAGTGCCGGGATTACAGCCATGTATCACCAGCCCAGTTTACATTTTCCATTCTTTTTCTAGGGTGTCAAAGGGCCTGAGTTTAGAGACTCTATTCTAATGACTGTATTCTCCATTATCCGTCTCCACCCTCCTATTACCTGCCTTTTTAAAGGTTTTGGACTACACAATCAGAGCACTCTCTCTGGCTTTCATTGAACTTGGCCAGTGGAAGAACTGGCACAAGATCAGAGGACTGGAGAAGAAAGAGCTGGAAGCTATGCCTCTCCGTGCCGCCTTTCCTCCCTGCTCCCCTGTGCTTCAGGAAGAGGTAGCGTTTTGTGGTTACAACTCCAGTTGGGTGGCCCCCCTCCTGCTCAACTCTAGTTCGCACTCGTTTCCATCAGAGTGCCTTCCGTTCTTTCCTCTGGTCTAGCAGAGCTTAAAGGACTCTATTGCCAGTCCCTAGGTGTGTTCCCTTTACCCCACACGCTTCTGTAAATATCCCTTCCATTATTTCCTTTGAGTAAGCTCCTTGGGTGTGCCTCCTCTCCCTGGCCATACATAATACTATTCTTCTTTGAAAATTAATATTCTAACTAGGATTCATCCTAGTTCTATGATTTAGATATGGTTTGAGTATGTACCCCAAAGTTTCATGTGTCTTAGAAGGGTGAAAACTTTATCTGACAATGGTGTTTACAGGTGGAACCTATTGCAGGTGATCTATATTAGAAAAAGTCCCCAAGATGAATCCTTCTGGTCTCTTTCTTGCCACAATTTCTTGCATGGGCTCAGGACTCTGTCAGCAAGGCTATTACCAGATGTGGCCCCTGGATGTTAACCCCCAGAGTCACAGCCAAAATAGTACTTCTCTAATACATACAGTTTTATTTGCACAGTACTTGGGATTGAGCCCAGGGTCTCACGCATGCTAAGCAAGTGTTTACCACTACCTTTATCTCAGCTTTTCTTGAGAAAGGGTTTTGCTAAACTGCTCCAACTGGCTTCAAACCTGCAATCTGCCTGCCTCAGCCTCTCAAGTAGCTAGGATTAAAGGCATGTGCACTGAGCCTGGCCCCGTTGGTCAAAATAAATCGCTTTTCTTTGTAACTTACCCAGTCTGTGGTACTGTGTTATTAGCAACAGAAAAGGAACTATTATAAAGTTCGTCTGGAAGATTCAGAGATGAGTTTTTCAGAAACAACGCACAGGCGCCTCCTCTGTCACTAGTGCTTGTTTCCAACTGCACACACCCTGTCTGTTTCTCGGTGCAAATGAGTAAGTGGAAAGTCACCTAATGCTCTGCTACCAGGTGACAGGTTTTACCAAATATTCCTCTGTTGCTCACCATAATTATCTGTAGTTATGTATAAGCTGCATTCCTCTCACCATCTGCCTCCTTTTGGAATGACAGATTTCCAAATTCCCTCTGTTTTACTCATGTGTAACACATAACTGATTCACAGGTGGGAAAGTCAACAGGCTTCTACCTCAGTCTTGTCTTCTGTAAGATGGGGCAATACCAACCTCATTTGGTGAAGGGACCACATCAGTAACATGTACAGTGCTTAGAATGGCAGTGCAAAGTGTTGCCAAATGCTGTTACTCTCTCGTCTGAGTCATCTTGGCTATTTTCCTATGACTTGTGGACGGGAAGGAGAATGGAGGGCTTTGGCAGGAAATTCTAACTTCTTCCTCCCAAACTCAGTGCTTTCCTTGGCAATCTCCCCCCATTCTGTACCTCATTCCTGAGTACCTCATTTCCTTTTCTATCACATTTGCACTGTCAGGAAGTGCCAGGAAAGTAATCAGGACAGGCCGTGATTCTTACATTTTCTGCTAATTCTAAACCAATGGTTTTCAAATTGTGGCCTGGAGTTCCCAAGAAGCCTTGTATACTGCAGAAGTGGGTGATATTCTAGGGCACTCTTCAGCTTGCTCTTACCTGTTTAAACCTCCTGACAAAACTGATAAAGACTTCCAAGACTGAAAACTTAAATCCCTGTTCTGATTTGGTACTGAAAGCCTTCAGACTTCACAGTTTGTCCTAATCTTCATTAGCCCTTCTGCCAAGGAATGTTCTCTACTCCATTCAGATAGTCTGTATTCTTTTCCATTTCTGATGCGGCTGAAAGAGATGTGTGAACAAGCAAACCTTTGTGTACTTATCTGGAGTGTCTTCCCAGGCACTCAGTCAGTACAGTAGACAACCTCTCCTCAATTCCCAACCCCCAGAACCCAAAATTACTACAACCATCCATTCTTTTGACATTCTTATGGCCTGGCCCCAGTGGCTTCTGGGAGTGAATAAAGTCGGCAGAAGCTATATAGTAGGGATCAAATCCCAGGGAGGAGTGCTCAGCAACTAGAACTGGCTTCTGGGGTTACAGAGATACTAACATCTCAATATTATAATTTCTTTATGAAATTTAAGACTTTGAACAGAGAATATGAACTTTCGAAAAAACAAAAGTCAGACTGCAAGATCTGCTCAAATACTGCATCATTAGACTGCCTTAAAATTGGAGCAAGACGAGTCCTAACACTGGGGCTCTCCAGTCCTACTCAGGCCCTTTTTCATAACGCTAGGAGCCTATGGACCAATGATGTGTGCTCATTCAAAGCTCCTGCCCGTCATCTCTTCTTAGGTCATGCTGTAAGCACCTGAAATGCTAGATCTCACTGCTCTTTAGAGCAAGAGGCCAGCGTCAGGGAAACAGCCTGCACGGGTCTTTTCCCCAAGGTTTGTCCTCTCAAGGAACCAAGGAGTAGCCAAGAGGAGGCCATTTATAGGTGGTGGGGGCAAAGCTCAGCAAACAGGGATGCTACAGGACGCCTGTGCACAAGGTGTCTGGACGTATGGAACAGAGCTTGGAGCAATGAGGAAGAGGAAGGTTGAGAGAAGTCTATTTCTCCCAAAGCTGCCACATTCTAGTACATTTCAGAATGAATTTAAATTTAGCCTTCCAGGTTATTATGAAGATATACACATCAAGATAAATAGGTGGGAATTTAATGTAACTGTTTAATTTGTTTTATAGTTTTAAAATATGTAAACGTTTGCTTTGTGGACCTTCATTTGTTTTACTCAGTCCCTGTAAAGAATGGGCCTGTCCCTGACTACTCTGTCTAAAATAGGACTCCCTCCATCACTCTCACCACTTATTCTTAGCCTCTGAGAGTCTTACAGGTGACATGGACTAACTCAGTAGACACAAAGGTAAAAGCATCACATGACAAGCCCTCTGGCAACACCTCTTAAAATAACCCACAATATATTGGAACTACACAAGGTGACCACGGAAAATCTATGAATGCCTTCTTGAACTCAAAAGAAGATGAGTTGATCAGGTTCCTTTTGAGAGGAACATCTGAGTAAGCAAAAGTGTTCCTGGGCTGAAAAGTTAAGACAGGAGGCGCGGGCAGCTCACACTGGAGGAATCGCCCTAACTTGAAGAGGTGACTTGGCAAGGTGCTGAAGAAACCCAGTTCTGCGGCCATCCAGCCCAGCCCATCGTGGGGAGGTGGCTTCTTATCCGTGACTAGGAAACCCTCAAATAATGACTCTCTCGGAGCCCCAAAAGGCAGATGCATCTGCCTCCTGTGGGAACGTGGCGGTCTTGGACTCGAGGACTGAACGCCCCTTTGCCCTCCCTCTTCTTTTCCACGCACTCCAAATTCGCAACGTCACACTGCATGGGAGGGACCCCCGACCCGACGCTATAAATACTCCGCTCCTTATGAAGGCCTGAGCTTTCGTCTAATACGGGGGCCGCGAGAGGCCAAATGACCTCTTCCCCAGCGCCTTAGCTCCGCGGACCCCACGCCTTCCGGTCGGGTGGGCGGGGCTCTCGGGACGGGGCGGTGCTTATTTTCCTCCTCGGACTCCGGCTAGAGCGTTTCCAGGCCTCGGCGGTCCGATAGCCAAGGGGGCGCGCGCTAGCTCCTGGCCAAGGCCAGCCGGCGGGCCGTGCCCGAGGAGGAGTCGTGGGGTCCGGGGCGGAGCCGCCTGGCTCCTCCTCGCGGGCGGAGGGAAGCCCGAGGTCGCGGGCGCAGGCTCCGTCTGGTAACGAACTTGTGTGCTGTGGCGCGCACGGCTGCGAAGGATGACGGGCTGCGGCCGCCGGTCTGGCTGGCTGCCCCCGCTGCGCCTGCTGCTGCTGCCTCTGCTGCTCGGAGGCCCCGGCGTCGGCGCGGCCCAGCTCGCGGCGCTGTATTCGGCCTCCGACCCCTTGACGCTGCTGCAGGCTGACACGGTGCGCAGCACGGTGCTCAACTCCCCCAGTGCCTGGGCCGTGGAGTTCTTCGCCTCCTGGTGTGGCCACTGTATAGCCTTCGCCCCGACATGGAAGGCGCTTGCCAAGGACATCAAGGGTGAGAAGCCGGGGCTGCCCCTCGCCCTCCCGGCGGGCCCCCTCCCAGCTTTCTCATCCCTGCCGCGCCGCAGGTCCCCATCTTCGCATCTCTCAAGTCAGTTTTCCTTTTCCTCTTGGCTCACATCTCTATGCCAGACCTCTGCTCGCCCCGTTCATCCTCTATTATGTTCCTGCCCTAATCTGTAATCCAGTTACCTTTTGCCCCTTCTGGTTCTTCTGACACATGGAGGCTTTCTCCAGTCCAGCCTGTAACAGCCCTTCCTCTTGCCCAGGGACCCGTGTCGCCTTCCTGCCAAACTCCCTAAATGCGGTGGATCGGGGCTGGGGATTTAGCTCAGCGGCATAAGCGCCTGCCTTGCAAGCAGGCAGTCGTGAGTTCGATCCCTGGTACCGATAAAAATGAAAAAAAAAAAAGACCAAAAACAAAAACACTTAAATGCGGTGGATCAGGGCTGGGAAGCAAAGGGAACTGACCTTCCCTCACTCTGCCACCCTGACCACCTTTCTCCTCTGCTTAGGCTAGTTACATAGCATCCTCATCGGTTTCCTAACTCCTTACATCTTCGAGGTGGGCGCCTTCTCTGGCACCTTCTTTTCATGTCTCGCAGGACGACCTGACCTGCTGCCCTCAGCACTAGTCAGGGCCATGGCCTTATCTCTCTTCTCCTTGGCCGTGGGCCCTTTCAGACTTTTAGGTTAGGGGTCAGAGACCTAACCAAAGCCAGCTTTACAGCTTTTGTTTCTTGTTCTATTCATTGGCCTAGGACCACATTTCCTTAATTTTAGGACACCGTTAATTGTGAGCGTAACAGCCAGCGAGATAACAGGATAAGAAAACCATTAAATGTATAAAGATTTTTAAGGTGTGCTGGCATACAGAAATGTTAAAATGTTTAAAAGCTGAAAGCATAGGGGCTGGGGATTTAGCTCAGTGGCATAAGCGCCTGCCTTGTAAGTGCGCAGTCGTGAGTTCGATCCCCGGTACCGATAACAAAAAACAAAAAACAAACAAACAAAAAAAAAAGGCTGAAAACTTAGAGTTGAAGAAATATGGTAATAATGGTAATAAATTTACTGAGCTCTGTATATCAGACCTATATTGTATCATAACTTCACTTCTACAATTTGAAGATCCTGGTAGTATCACATATCTGCCTAACCCAGAAAGTGGGAGGGCGAGGCACAATGATGGTGATTTGTTTCTGATTTGCTGTCCCTGAATAGAGCCACTTCCTAATGATGGTGCTAGGGTACTAGCAGAGATGAATCTTGACCTGAAATGGTCATTGAATAACTGTGGACACCTTAGGGAAGAGGCTTTCTAGAGGAAGGAGAGCTAAAGCCATTGTTCTTCATCTGTGCTGTTAGTAATCTGACTAGACAGGGCTCATAAATTACAGTAATAAATACACCTGTAGATGTCATTTTCAAACTCAGTCTCCCTTTCCCCACTAAGAAGCAAGCTAATTGATTACTGAAGTGGCTAAGTTAAACGGGAGTGTGTATCTTTTAGCCATATGGCCCTGGAAAAGATTTTTTTCCAAAATTTATAAATCCTTTTACCTCTGATTTACACTTGCCTATATGCCTCTCTGGTCTTGTCACCTATATGAGCATCTCTGAGAAGCCCTTCACAATATTTTAGTGATGGCAACACATAAAGTCAGGGGAGGAAGGAGGAAGAATGAGGATCATGGATCTAGAACACTAAAGAAAGGTAATTTTGGGGGACATGGCAGGCCTGAATATCATAAAAGTCCCTCAATTGTTTTTTACTTTGAGGCTGTAAGAAGTCTTTAATAACTGCAGATAGACTCATTCTAGAAGACTTTGTGTCTTGAGAGGGCAGGAAAATTAACTTCTAGCTGACTCATGTTTGACCTGTTGCAGAATTTTCTTGTGAGTTTCACATGCAGGTACTGACTTAACCTGCTCCTGGATGAGAGTTGTCATTTCCAAAAAGGAAATGGCTTTGGCTTTGGTTTTGTCATTTCCAAAAAGGAAATGTCTTTGTCTTTTCCTGGTGTTTGGAGTGATTGTCTTAAAAAGTACAACCAAAATTAAATCTCTGAGGAAAATGGAAGCGTCAAAGTTTGTGAAGGTAAAGCCTAGTGTGATGTATACCTGTAAGGCCAGCACTTGGGAGGCTGAGGAAAAGGAGCACTGCACGTTCTAGCTACATTGTGAGTTCAAGGCCAGCCGGAACTACTTGGGAACACCCTGTCTTTAAAAAAAAGAAAAGAAAAAAAAAAAAAAAGCTTGTGAAAGTGAACCAGGAAGTGGGAGATTTCTCTGGAAACTGAGGGTTTCCTGTTAGCTAGACATGGGAGTGAGACAGTCCAATATACAAGATCATGTCAGGGAAGGGTTCTGGCAAAATCTGGAGTTGGCCTATAGTGAGGAATATCCTATCCAAAGGAGTGGGCCCCGGCTAGGTGCTGGGATTGGTCTCGCGTCACATCTCTGTTCTGAGGTTTATTTAAAAGTCAGTTGTGAGCTGCTCTCATACCCCTCTGTGCTATGCCAGTGTGGCATATGTGCTGTCTTGATGACAGAAGTATTTTGGGGCACGAACAGGGAGAGTATGGAAGGTCATGGGGCAGCCAGGTGTAGGGTGGTGGTTACAATCCTGCCTAGCTGGATTCAGGCTTTTAATCTGGCTAGACAGGGCTCATTTCCTCCTGACCTGAGTGATGGATTCTCTGAAGGGTTTGCTGCCCTAGGGTAGAGCTTTTGTTTCTGGAGGACTTGCTTCCCTCTTTCTATTGGAGAGCAGCTGCTATTGACTCATGACATGTTTAGGAAATTTATTGTATCCATTTGAGAACTTCATTACTATTCACTGACTGATCATCTAGCAAATATTTGTTGAGTCATAGATCACTGTTTACATTGCAGTTGGAGCAGTGAACAAACACACAGTAGGAGAATTGGCAACAGTCTGAAACCCATGTTTGAGAAGGGCAAAGGGGTAGTTCAGTATTTTGTATTGCAGGAATTCACAGAAGGGAACACTCACAGAGGGCTAACATGACCACAAAGGCCTTTATGCAAGCATTTATTACACACTTATCTAATGGCAGCACTTTGCTGAGACCCTTCCTATGCCATTATTATATATTAAAATGTTTACCTAAAAAAATGCCCAAACCATAGGCCTTCTTCTTCATTTTGTTGTTGTTGATGGTTTTTAATGAAGTAAAGAGAGGGAAAGAACTTAGGGTTATGGAGGTTCAAATTCAACATGAAGTGGCTCCTGTCAGCCACTGGCAAGAGCAATACATCCTGCCAAGAGCGGCATGTTACAGTACTCAAATTCTGAACCAGGAAGCAGAGTGTTGTCTTCCCATACACACACACACACACACACACACACACACACACACACACACACACATACACACACACTCTAGAACTGTGGGTGGAATGGAGAGGTACTGTACCACTGAGGTTCATCCCCAGCCCTTTTTATTTTTCTGTTCTGAGCCAGAGTCTTGCTAAGTTACCCAGCCTGGCCCCACACATGCTCTTCCTGCCTCAGCCTCCCAAGTAGCCAATATTACAAGCATGTACCACCTTTATGGTAATATCTTCTTTTGACTTTTTTACAGGCTTGCTCAGGATTGCACAGGGACTGGTGGATGTTCTTTTGTCCAGCTCTTTCTGATGCTTCAGAGCTTGGGCAGGAAAGAGGTGGTGGAGGACAATGTGTATTCTAGCTGGGAAAACAGCATGTGCAGAGCCATGGAGATAAGATTCATAGGCATGTATGTTTGTGTGACAGTGAATGTTACCAGTTTTGCCTGCCTTTTCTTTCAGAGCACATAGGATGTTTCCTCTTTTTATCTCTGTGATGCCTTGTACAGAGCCTGGCACAGGGTAGGAGCCCACTGAATATTCATGGCCACCTGAGCTTTACAGGATTCCTAGTGAGAATGTGAGCAAAAGAATCTTCTGCTGTTGTTGTGGCTCCTCTTGACTCAGACCTGGGGTGTCAGCCATGAGTGTGGGGTATGTAAGGCATTTTGTCCATCCTGTGACCTCACTTCCTTGAGGCCTTCATGAGAGAGGAAGGAAGGGGTATGGTAGTGACAGTGTAGCACTGACTAGCTGGGAATGGTATACACTACTGTGTCAGGAGGGTGCCTGGAGACTTGTGTGGGAAGCTGGGTGCTGAGAACAGGCAGGGTCTAGGCACTGGACCACTAGATTTCCCTGGCTCTTGGTTTGAGTAAGTCTGCGCTCTGTCTTAAAACCCAGGCTTGCTTCATACGTGGGGGCGTTGTAGCCATTTTCTTGTGAGAGATGTTTGCCAGCCAGTGCCTGAATGGTTGTCAGAGGTGAAAGGGACAGTTGAGGCCGTCTGTGCTGGTGTTCTTACCCAGGTAAAGGTAAGTTCCAGAAAGGAGTTGTATGGAGCTCATGGTACATCCCCCAGGTGTGACAGTGAGCAAGTCTAACTCTGGATCCCATGCCTTTCCTGCTCTTGTCTGTAGGGGAGGGGACACCACTTGTGGTGCCATGTGGCTGCCAGCAGAATCCCACCACAAGGCGGTGTCCCCTCAGCCATCACTCTACAATCAGTCTGGCTTTTGTTGTTCCTCATGTTCCCCTCTTCATTTTCCACTTACTCCATTGTTAGTACAAGGCAGTAAACACTAGGAATTTTTCTCCAGCAGTATTAAGTCTCTAGACATTTCAGAAAGGCTTTGTTACCCAGACAGTGAAGCTGTTAAGTGTAACTTTGCTTTACCAGTAGGACACTCAGATAAGGCAAATTTCGTTTAAATATCTTAATTGGCTTTTATTTATGATTCTAGAATTGGTTACCATCTGTCTGCAGTAGAGTGAGTACTCTGATGAGCAGAGCAGAGGAGCATGGCTTTACAGACAGAAAAGGGCTGAAAACAGCAGAAAAGGAGAACAAAAACAGATTAGTCATTTTGAAGTTATTTTCCTTATAAACATTAAAACAGAGGAGGCTTTATCATGTCAGCTGAAACTGTGAGATTTGTTTATTCTCTTGATTTCTTGGAAGGTCAGATAACAAGTTAATTTCAGCTTGGTGACATGGAATGTCAACATTTTGGTTTGGTCTTTGGGCCTCGTGCAGGAGCTCTGTCTAAACCAGTGGGCTCATTAATGTATTGATATTGATAGTCCTGAGAAACAGTCTTTGTGCAAGACTTTCACAGCATCTGACTGGCCCAGCCTGTATTCTATTTCCTTTTGAGGTGAGGGAGGGAGATGCCCTGTTCCATTTTATAGGGCAGAGGGGATCAAAGCATAAAGAGACTCAACAGCCCCTAGGTAGCGCCTTTCTTTTTGTCCACTGGCTCCCTCCTCTCAGTCCCCGTGCCTTGGTTGGGAAGCCATACAATGCTTTTTCTTCTGGCCCAAGCCCTCTTGAGAATGAGAGGTTCAAATCCTAGGTTCAGATCTCTGATTCACTGTTAACTTAAAAATAGTGCATGGTTATCTGTCTCTGTTTTACAGGTGAGGAAAGCAGGTTTAGAGATAAATACCTTCCTACTTTCTCATAGATGTTAGAAACATTAAACTAGATATTGAGTACACAATAAACCCAGTACATTTGCTGATAGCATCATTCTGTAATAAGCACTGGCCTACTATGCTGGCTGACTGCTGTGAATTAGAAAGAATGCTATTTAATTAGAAGACCAAACTTTCTGCCCTGTTCTCTGATGGGGAAGGCTATCATGGGAACTAAGAGCATGAATTCAGCTGTAACACCCTAACTCCAGTGAGATGGAGAGAAGAAAGTGGGTTTTTGAGTCTGTAGGTCTTGCATAAGCTGAAAGGCTTCTTAGTCTGTGTCTTCCTTTGCAGAGTTGGAGACGTAGTGTCCAGGTGGTCGTGTGGAGTATGATGGATGATGTGTGCCGTGGTGCTCGCGCACGTTGGCTTCCTGTCCTCTCCTCCCTGCTCTCCGTTTATACACTTTGCGCCTCCGTGGCAATGGCCTGTTCTCTTGGAGAAAGGAGGAACAGTTTAAGCCTTTGGGTCCTTGCTCACTTAGCATGTCATTATCATAAGGACCTTGCTGGTGGAAGGCCACCACATTGTCCCTCCTCTGTATTGTCAGATGACACTTGTTAAGAATAGCTGGGCCTGGGGCTGGGGATTTAGTTCAGCGGCATGCCTGCTAAGCTTAGAGTAAAGCAAGTGACATGAGGTGAGCTTTTCACCCTCTCCTGGTCCTCCCATGGGTGGGGGGTTCCAAAAGGACTTGGGGTACTTTTGTATGTGATCCAGGGAAAACCCTGGACTTGGGCAGCCACTGGGGAGCCCTTCTCTCTTGTGACCTTGCTTTGTCCTTTAAATAAAGGACAAACAGTGAACGCTGGCACAGGTGATTGACTTTACCCGCACCTGCCACCTGAACATGAGGAAAGACTGAGGCTGAGGTCAAAGAAAACATGTTCTACCACAGAGCTGCCAACAGATAATGCTGGCCCGGTTCAGAGAAGTAGTTCAGTAAACATTCACTGAGCACTTGGTGTACACGAGGTAATGAGATGCTAGACAGTGCGAAGACCAAGAGACACTGGAAGATGGGCAGCTGATCACAGTATGGTAGAACATGAGTAGGACCCTGGCCCTGGGGCTGAGGAGCAGCGCTTCTGAGAGAAAATAGTCTTTAGACTGAGCTGGACCTGACAGAGGGAGTTTGTAGGGAGACTGAATTAGTGTGGGCTGCAGAGAGGCCCTTTTTGATGGGGAGTGGCCTGGACATGGGAGAGTAAGCGCTACTTTCAGAGGGGGAAAAGACTTGGCATTCCTTGTGGGGAAGTGGTTGGTAGAGGAGGCTGGATGTGTAAAGAGAACAGATAATCACCTTATAGCTGTGGTTTTTCTTCAAAAGGCGTGGAATGCATCAAAGAATATTGAGTAGAGGGTAAGTTATCAGCTCTACAGGTAGAAGAGATTGGTGGCTGGAGGGACCAATGAAGGGTGAGGTGCATCAGAAACTCACAAGGAGGGGAATGAGATGTGTCTGATTATCCCAGGAAGATCTGCCATAGAAGTCTTGCACCAGTTCACTGGAAACAGAGAACAGTTCAGAAGGGAAATGAGTCAAGAAACCAGATTAGATACCAAAACCCCCTAGGATGGGGCAGTGAGATGAGGGCCAGGGGAGGACAAGAGACTTCAGAGGGGAGTGGACAGGACTTGGGCTGAGCAGATCCACGTGCACAGACTATGCTGACCCTGCCCCTACTAAGGGAAGCCCACAGTGGACAAGGTAGAGAATTGTGTCAGGGTGGGAGGGACGCGGTCCACACCTGCCTTTGGGCAGGCTGCTTGCAAATGAAAATTTTCAAAGGCTGAAAACTACCTCGCAGCTATATGACTAAGCCTAAGCTACTGTCTCTTTGTGCCAGGGAAGTCAGAACACCCCAAAAGGGTTTGGTGAAGTGGTGCATTGCGGAGACTGAGGAAATGGTATGATGGGCTGTGGCTCACCTGTCTCTGCCAAATGCCTCTTAATCTCTTTCTCTGCTAAACGTTTCTACCCAGCCTTCCCTTCCTCTAAACCCCCTCTTACCCGTGCTCACTTCCTCCTGCCAAGAGTCTAGAAACAGTGCCAACAGCAGACTGCCAGTAAGAAAGGAGAGAGAGGAGGAGGAGGTAGGTGTGGCCGTAGGCCTTCCTCACAGCCTTGAGACCCACTCCTACCTAGTGTCAACCCAGGAAGATCAGCTTAGTTGTTTTCCTTCAAGGGTGGCTCAGGGTTTCTCTGGGGAGGGGAGAGCGTTTCTATTTGTTTCGTGAAATTGAAGGTAACATACTTTCTCTGAGCATAAAATGTTATTGTGAGCTCTGAGACCTTCAGAGGGGTCATAAGGAGTGGGTTCCAACAACTCGTGATTGTTGGAGGTGCTGTTCAGTTGTTAGTGTGATGTTCCTGATGAGTGCTGGGTATAATCCCACTCAGGGCCGCCTCAGGCACAGGCCCCAGCTTGGAACTAGAGCCAGGGGTGTCTGTGCTGGGACTATGCAATCAAATAGGCTTTATTTGCTCATGTACTTCAGATGCCAGTGGCTGCAGTGTGCAGCGGAGCAGCCATGACTTTTCTGGGCAAGCTATCAGGTGCTTGTTACCATCCAGCTTAGCTGCCAGCCTCCCACCTGAGCCTCCTCTCATTTAAAGGCTTCTTTTTAAAGTTCTTTTTAAAGCATTTACCTGTCCACCAGTTCTTCTGTCCTCACTCTTGCAGTCCTATGTCACGTGGGCTGAGTGTTAAGGCTTTACTAAATTTCCTGCAGAGCCTAAGTCTTATTCCACAAGACTGCTCTTAAAAGTCTGTGCCACATAATTTTGCAACATTCATAGCCATCTCACAGTTTGTGTGGCCTCGTGTGTATACCTTGCAGTTTGAGCAGCCCTGGTGTAGAATAGAACTTTGGTGGATGCTCAAGGGAGACTTGACCTGGAATCAGAGCTCAGGAGACCTGCCTGATGTATGAGTTCATTTTCTGTTTCTCAGATCCTGTCCTGTGCCATTATTTTCTCTGCCAGTAAGTTTCAGGGAAGAGAGGCCTCATGGCTTGGGGCTAATAAAGGAACAAGATTAATCTTGTAGATTCTGGCCTCAGGGCTTCCTTTCCTGTGGTTCCTGTCTTCCCCGTGCTTTCTCCTGGGAGTTCTTCAACAGCTGATACCTGACCTGGTACCTCTGGCCCCAAAACCCTCACCTAGGGTCTGTCAGGGAATCCCAGGGGTCCTGAGGCATGCTCTCCACCCTCGAACCCGTCAGCCTCTTAGATGGCTGAAGGGACAGAGGGATTTTCCCAGCGCTTTTCCCAGTGGGCCAGGCTTTTCTTTCGTTTCTCTTCCAGCCCATCACCCCCACCCACTGGAGTACGAGGGGAACACAGATACTGTCACAAGACAGCATTGTTAGGGGCTGGGGATTTAACTCAGCTGCACAAGCACCTGCCTGCCAAGTGCAAGGTTGTGAGTCCCATTCCCAGTACAAACACACACACACACACACACAAACCAAGACTGCATTATTTGTGCTTTTTAACTGTATTCTAAGCACAAGCCTCCTCTTGTGAGGCTCTGGCCAAATGTAGACTAAAGGGGAATAGTCAGAGACTCTTTGGGAGGAAAGTGATTTTTCTCATAAGAGCTGTGGGGCAGGTACTGTGGAGTTGGTAGCAGAGAGGCTGCATGGGAGAGGCAAGCACTGGAGGGAGTGCCAGCTCCTCTTGCTTACCCGGGGCGTTTTGTCCTTTCAGACTGGAGACCAGCACTGAACCTCGCCGCCTTGAATTGTGCTGACGAAACCAACAATGCAGTCTGCAGAGACTTCAACATTGCTGGCTTCCCGAGTGTGAGGGTGTGTAACGTTGAGGGGGAGTGGGGCTGCTAACAGGTTCTGACTGAGCGTATTATCAGCTGTGTGCTTCCCTAGCATCTGCCCAGGCTGCTGAGCTCTTTGGAGTCCCCGTGCTTTAGGGCCTGAGTTGTTTAATCACAGTCTCCAGAGCACTATTCCCCTTGTTTTAGAGATGCAGGCAGAAAATAAAGGTTTATTTGGTTTGGAAAAGTCTGCCCTTTATAGGGGAAAGGGCCCTGTGTGGGGTGTTGGAGTGAGTGGATTTTAGCTGCTCTGAGTTGAGCTGTACAGTGATGATCATGTGAGCTGGTGAGTGCTCCCAGCTTCAGGGGTCCTCTTTAATCTTTTACTCATGACCTCCCAGCCTTGGAAATCTGACCTCACTCTGTAAAACCAGGACCCAGACTCTGACCTATCTGTGAGCACGATTCAACTCCTGGGGTCTCTACTGATACCCAAAAAAGGGACCCCAGAGACACTGGCAAGCCTCAGTCTCATCTGGCAAGTGCTTTGACCCACATGTGCTCGGAATTTAACCGAAGAGGTGGCCTCAGCCCGTAGTCAAACTGCCAGTGTCTTGGGTAGCATCACCCTCAAGGTAGCGAGGGATTTGTCATCATAGCTGTGGCAGAAGATAGCACTGGCTCACTGATGATGCTTTGCCTGCTAGCCTGCCCACCACAGAGCACCAACAACTCTTCAGATATTAATTAATATCTGAACAGCCTCCAGGCCTTTCAGATGGAATGCCCTGCACAGCAAGGGTGCCGCAGTGTTGGCAAGGGCCCTCCCAGGACTCAAGCCTGGCTCTCTGATCCAGTTAGGCTTCCAAATTAGCGAAGCCCAATCCATATCTCTCTCTTCCTGCCTCCAGCTATAAATCATGCAAACCCCCTCCCCTCCCCGTGCACACACCAGCATCTAGAAAAGCAGTTTCTTCTGTAGCCATTAAGAATAATCAGGAAACGGGGCTGGGGATTTAGCTCAGCGGCATAAGTGCCTGCTTTGCAAGTGTATGGTCGTGAGTTAGATCCCCGGTACCAATAAAAAAGGAAAAAGACAAAAAAAAAAAAAAAAAAAAGAATAATCAGGGAATACATTTGATCACTGAAATGCCAAATATTGTCCCTAGAATGTGATCTCTGAGCTCAAGGACCTCAAGTTACGAGCAGATCCATAAGTTGGTACTCATTACCCCAAGAGTGTTCATTTGGAAAGCAAAGCCTCAGGCACTACAGAATGTCTTGCTGTAGCTCCAGGCAACCTTTCTGTTCCTCAAGCCCAGGGGAATCTTGCTGGACTCAGGTTTTTTAGCCCGAGAGAGGTCCCTTCCTAAATTGTTACCGTTTAGGGCAAGGTTGACCTAGGGAACAGTGTAGCAAGCCAGCAGCTACTTCCCCATCAGAGGCAACAGTGGAGACTGTTTATCAGGCATGGCCCTCGTTGGCAAGGACACTGCCCTATCCTCTGCTGCAACTAAAAATACTCCCAGGGCCTCTGTAGTGGTGAGACTGTATAAGCAGCCCTGAGTGGGCAGTGGTAGAAACACCAGTTTGGCAACAGGAGCCATCACAGGCTGATTCAGTAGTTTTTCTCCCAATAAGGCTTGTACACAGGTCCAGCCACGCCTATCCTTTGTGGAGAGACTAGTGTCAGTACAGTGGCCAATCAAGAATCCTCTCTGGCTGCTGAAGGCCTGACATATGGGCTTTATGTTCTGTGTAGAAGTGGCTGGGCCCAGTGGGTATAAAGGAGGCAATCCAGGAAATCACAAGGCTAAGGCTCCTCAGCACCTACCCAGGTCACGCAGCACACATCTCCTGGATGCTTCAAGTGATTAGTCACCTCCTTACCTGCTCAGCTGGCTGCGGGAAGGGTTGGGAGGGCCAGTAAACTGGTCGTCTTACCTTCCCTGCTTTTAGTCAGGTAGCACCTGGCTGGGCCAGTCCAGTAGCCAGCTGTTCATTTCCTAAGCTTTCTAGAGACCAGCGCTGTGACCCCATTTGGCAAAGCCTTCCTTCCCTACTCTTAGGAACCTACAACTCAGTATGGCTGGGCAGAAGTGCTCAGGACCTTGTCCTCAGGACTCAAGGCCATAGCCAAGTGGGATCAGGCTGTGCGTCAATCTCTACAGTAAGGCTTTCTAATGTTTTCTTACAGTGACTCATGATGAAAAATACACATGTTATATAGTAAGCCTAAAGTTGGTTTGTATTTATCATTTAAAACAAAATTTTCATTTTTTATTTTTTTACCAAGTGCATTACATACTATTTTCTGTTTTTAAAAAAATGCTGGCTCTGATTCACTAAGTTGATTGCACAGCTCACTAGTAGGTTGCTTTTAATGTTTTTTAAGGTGCTGCTCAAATAGATTCCAGATTTTCAGAGATTCTAGCTCACTGAGAGCTTTGCACCTTTGGGCACCTGTGGGCTCCATAGAAAGCAGAGTAGACCCTAGAGGCTGGCAGCCAGGCAGGCCTGCTGTCAGGTAGCCCTGTTATACTGTCTACTGTCCCCTGGGGACCAGAACTGGCTGTATTAGGTATTCATCATTCTGGAACTGCTGGAAGGAAGCAAAAGTACAGGAAAGAAGGGGTGAGTTTGCAGCATGTTCTAGCTGATGTTTGGGAACCTAGAGGCCATATTTCTGTGGTCAGGTAGGCTTGTATTCTCGTAGGACCATAACCACACCCCTCAGTAGGCAGTGCACTGGGACCCTTTGTGGCCAAAGGCTTGGCTTGAGTAAAGATTGCATGGAATAGCAGTGCTGCAGAGAGTGGACAAGTTTTCCCTTTGTAAGATTCTGAGGAATTCATTAATCCTCCACTGTGTACTGTGTATGACTTGGAAAGTTACTTAACAGTGCTTTGCCCAGCCAGTGTGGGGAGTCCCATTGCTGACAGGCTTGCTGCCTTCCATGCTGCCCCTGGTGGCAACAGAGGAAGATGAGCTGAGGTCTCTGGAGATGATCTCAAAGTACTTGCCAGGAGCAGGCTACTGGCCCAAGGACCAGAATCTGCTAGGCAGGGGGCAGGGGGCAGGGGCTAGGGGCCAGGGCCAGGGCTGCCAGCAAGAAGGGTCAGGGACTATGTGTAGTGCAACCACAAGATGGCTTTCTCAGGCATGCTTTGGAAACTGGACATCAAAAATGAAGATGATGTCAAATCCTTACCATGCCAGATGGTTGATGTTTTCAGTTACAGCATAACAAACAGGGACAGGATTGTGACTCCCATTTCTCATGGTACGTTTGTGGCCAAACACTTGAAGGACATAAACCAAGAAAGCTATATTAAACCATTAGTAGAAAATATCACGGATATTCCCATACAGACAAACGGGACTGGCTAACCAAACAAGCTGGGATGGGTTTGTGGAGTTTTTCCATGTAGAGGATCTAGAAGGCAGCACCAGAAACATGCTACTGGCTTTTCCGGGTGGAGGAGAAACTGGTTTGACATATCTAATAAGATCGCCTTGTAAGTGTAGTAGTTGGCTGTTAATTCCAGGTATCAAAACAATACAGCTCTGTGAAATCAAAGTATTTATGGAACTGGGCTTGAAGCTGTCCGAGCAGCAACTTCAAAGTGGCCAGAAAACAGAATTTTGGCTACCGGTAATGGGAAAAATAGTTCTTTTTGAGAGTCACATTCTGAAAGAAGCAAAATGCAATTTCAGTAACAAGCAAACTGGGGAGACCATGATAGACTTCCAGATTTAGTGAAGATGATAGGATAAAGAGACCTGATTTCTTTGTGTGGAACTAGAAGAGTGACTAATAGCCAGCTAGTCAAGAGAAGTCATTAAATATGCCCACCAAATCATCAGTTGTCTAGTGTTAAAAGAGAAGCACTAACAATGCTAATGATGTATGTAAAATAGATTTAAACTACAAGGAATTGAACTCTGACCACAGGCCTCATTATTGTAGAACAATGTGTGAAGGGTAGCTTTTCCTCTATAATTCACTTTCCCCAGTGTATTCTTTGAAGAATAGGCCAACAGTAGTTAGGAATATGGAATAGTCTCATATTTTAAAACAAAAGCAACTTGTGTTTGCATGTAAAAAAGTGTATAATTTTTACAGGAAGTATTTCATTGGACATAAAATATATCTCAAAACTTTATAGTGATTTTTTCACACTTTTGAAATTTGTGACTTCTGTAGTTAAGAATCTATTTCTTAGAGCTTTTCTGTTCAGAGCTTGGTCCTTGTCAGTTCTAGAGTTAATGTAGAACTAATTGATGCTACTTGTATGCAACCTGGTTGTACAGGAACAAATCTGATTCATCTCTATGCAAGGCCTAATTTTTTAGGCTGACTTTGGTAAGTATTTCTTAAATAGGTTCTGGGAGAAGATGGGCTAATGTCTTAAAAGTAATGCGTTCTGATTAGACAACTTCATTTGAGTTCTTAAATTTGACCTAATTTAACTGGTGCAATTTAAAGCCGAGTTTATGAGGTCATCTTTAAGGCTTTCGCTGAAAAATTTGCAGTTCTTTCAAGTGAACATTTTGAGTGAGAGACATTTGATTTCTTGTTTACTTGATTTCTAAAATGATGGCTTGCAAAAGCAGGCCAGAGTCTAATGGTGTTAATACTGGGCTTGCTTGTTAAACACAGGTATAAAGCTCTTATGCAAAAAAAAGAAATACTCAACTGTTTCTTTAAAAAAATATTGCAGCCTTGGGCCTCAGTTTCCCTATCTGTGAAAATGGAATGATGATATCTCCCTACTAGAATTTTTGCTGAGTGTGAAATGAGATCTTACCTATGAAAGTGCTGAGGCATTGGTGTTTGAAGTTTAGTGTACATTAGCTTTCTTCCTTCTGATTTCCCTGTGGGGCTACCTGGTAGCTTCTGTATGGTAGGGCAGCTTAGGCAGCCCGTCCAGCAGCAGCTATTGAGGCAGTGTATATTGGGTACCTAGCACTGGACTCACAGAACATAGCTTCCTGCTACCTGGGAGACAGTGAGGGACTGGGCATAGTGAAGGGCCCAGATTCACTGAGATCTTTCCTTGCTCATCACAGAGAACTTCAAGTAGGAGGAGGATTTCCATGCTGTGACAGTGGAAGGGCGTGGGCAAGCCATCATGGGCAGGGGAAGGGGAAAGCCAGCGACTTACGTGGGCAGAACTGTGTGTCATGGCGTCGGGGTACAAAGGACGAGACTTGTTGGTCAGAGGCTCATGTTCACAGGGAAGGAGGGAACCCAGGAATGGAAGGTCCCTGAAAATCAGGCTGGGATGTGGGTACTCTATGGGTACAGAGTCTGGGCCATTCCCTTATGTAACTCTTGCTAGAAGATGAGATGACAGAGAGGAGCTGAACTGAAATATCACTTGCTTTGCTGAAACAAGGAAATGGGCCATTTCTCTGTAATGACCTACAAAAACAGGCCATAGCACAAGTAGTTTAAGTTGTTGTCCTTATGGAGTCAGCATAAAATATTTGGAGACTAGATCATTTTCCTGAAAACCTGTTAAAGAAGGTTGAATTCAGTGTCATCACTGGCCACTGCTAGAAAGCAGTGTCCCCAGCAAGGCAGTTGTCCATAGGTTTACGACGATGTTCTAGTGCAACCTGTTTTCCTGTTGTTGGGGAGAGGCTAGAATCATTCTAGCCTTCAACGTAGGTACCGTCAACATCCATACCTTCAACAAAGGTAGGGCAAGGCAGAAACTCCTGCTGCCCTAGGCCAAGGATGAAAGAGAAGGGGCAGGTACTGACTGTTCCAAAATGGACTGTTCTGGGAAGAAAGAAGATTCATTGCTGAAGGCTCAATTGCCTGTTCCTAAGGAGTTGTTTCCATGGCTAGGCACATGCCTCCATCGGTTGACTTAAAAGGTTACATTGTAATAAGAGGATAAAAATACACCTGGACCAGATTTTCACCTGAGCTTCCATGATGATCAAAGGGCAGAGAGTCTGTTCAGTTTGACAGACATCTATTGATTTTCTCTGTGTACTGGATGCTGTGCCAGTAGAATTTAAAGGAAGTGACAGATTAGACCTGTGATGTTATGTGTGTAGACAATAAGACAAAGCAATGAATCAAACTAAGCTATCTGTTTCTCTGGGGGCTCAGGCCTACTCTTCAGTGGGGACCTATTTTAGAGTCCCACCCTTTGCTTCACTGTGTTAGGTGGGGCATTTTCAGTGATGGACACTCCAGCTTCAGGGCCTCCTTTCCCAAGACAATGGACAAGACCAGATTGACAAAGGAAAGCTGACATTATCCAAGGGATGCATAAAGTGACTTTATGTTACTTGTTCACATAGATGTACAAGGGCAAACAGAAATGATTCTTCACCATCAACGTGTGTGTAAATAGTTTTCAGTGATTATGTGCTAGGTGCTAGTGCTTTGCAGAAAGAATCTGTCTCCAGTGAAGTCTTGTAAGAGCTGATATCTCCAGTTTTTATGGCTGCTTCCATATTGGGATAGCAAGGTTGTATGTGAAGATAACAGGGAAGGAGATCAACATCCAGGTGCAAGAGCAAACTTCCCTGATCTTCATTTTACAGATGAAATGGAGGTTCCAAAAAGCTAAGTAGTTCACCCAAAGTCACCCCTGTTAATAAGCAGCTGGGCTTGAAATGCAAGTCCATCTGACGCCATCATCATGCCCGTAACCTGTGTGCACTACTGACTCTTGCTTGTTTTTGCTTCCAGTTCTTTAAAGCCTTTTCCAAGAATAGCACAGGAACAACGTTGCCTGGTAGGTTCCTTGGCTCTGGCCGTCCTGTTGGCATTGTCAATGTCTTCCTCTCACTGCCTCCCTCTTTTACTATGGTTTCCAGGGTGAGGGGGCTCCCAGGTGGTACATTTTTCTAAGTGTCTACTGAGTCAGACGTCTTGGAAAAATCAGGCTGACAAGCCCTTGAGATATGGCCCATCCAGGGTCCTGGGGTGGGCAGGGGTACCATGTTCCCAAGGTGGTCTTCATGTCAAAATGGGATTGGTGTCAGGGAAGACCAGAGAGCCCCTGGCAGTGCCTTTGTGAGCCATTTCTGAAGCACTGCTTCTTGCCTTCTGGGGTACAGATCACAGCCTGAAGTCTGTCCTCTCCTGATCCCATCCCTGTGCCTGTTTTCATTCACAGTGGCTGGTGCCAATGTGCAGATGCTTCGGGAGAGACTCATTGATGCCCTGGAGTCCCACCATGACACCTGGCCCTCGGCCTGTCCACCACTGGAACCTGTCAAGTATTTTGGGCTGGAAGAAACTTAGCACAGCATGGGCCAGGGTTCCAGATCAGGGAATGAGAGGATGGGGGGAACTTCAAGACTGGAGATCCATGTCGATTTCTTCCTGTTGCCTTTCCCTTGGGGATAGGCACTGCAGTATGCCAGCAACACTTTGGTTTCCTCTCCCCGGAGGACTGGCAGAAGGAAGACCACAGAGCTAAAGGTGGCCCACCACTGGAGTTTTGCCTCATTACCACTGGGTGTTGTGTGACCATGAGTTATCTCTTAACAGGCCAAAGGAGATTGATACATTCTTTGCAAGAAACAACCAAGAGTACCTGGTCCTAATCTTCGAGCAGGAAAACTCCTACTTGGGTAGAGAGGTGAGCTGCCTCAGGTTCCCTTCAGCACTGGGATGGCCAGTTTGAGGGAACTCCCATTCAGGAGCATTGTTTTTCCTGCCAATGGTACTGTCTTGTCTCTGTATATTTCTTAGCTCTAGGTACTGCCTGAGCCTTGCCAAGAGAGATGTGAAGTAGGGGCTGGACCTTTGCACTTAAAAACCTTTGTGCCTGTTCTTATCTTCCTAATGCCGATCATAACACCTGTTTATTGAGTATAGGACTCAATTGCTAACAGACTTAGCTGCTTGTCCCACAACTGATAATGTCAGCAAAATAAAAATGTTCAAGATCACATAGCTAGAGGCTGGGGATATAGCTCAGTGGCACAATGCCTGCCTGGCAAGCGTGAGGTCATGAGTTTGATTGCCACTACCAAAAAAAAAAAAAAAAAAAATTTCACACAGCTAATAAAGTAAAACAGAGCTTTGACTCCCAGGGCTGTCTGACTTCAAAGCCAGTGCTGTTTCCACACTACGTCACCCACACAGAATTGGAGTACAACACCAGGGGAGGTGGAAACATTAGAGACAATTGTGTTTCTCATGAGGAAGTGGGTGCTTACCAAGTGCTGCAGAATGAATTTACACTCCATCAGTTACATGCTATGTCTTTGGGCATGTCGCTGTATTTTTCTGAGCCCCATTTCCTTCTGTAGAATAAGAATGGTTACATTTTTTTAATGATATTACTGGGAAAGACCAGTGAGCCAATTTAAGGAAAGGGCCTGCATTAATAGCTGGCATGTAATTGGTGTATGAGATGATCTAGCTTAACGCCAAGTCCCACTGTGCTGCTGGGTCAGGGGCTTTCCCATACACTGCTTGAGCACTGCATCTACATGCACAGCAGGATGCACCAATTCACAGGAGATGTTCTGGGGCTGTGTAGGGCGATGAGATACAAAAGGGATGAAGTTAAACCCCACTATGGGCCAGAAATAGTTTTCCTGCCAAAGCACATCCAGCAGTTGATGGTGCTCTGGAGCTAAAGCAGAAGCATCTCCAGGCTTTCAGCTCTTCAGGGAAAGCACAGGGGAGTTGCTAGCAGCTTGCAGGATCCCTGTCCATGCCTGTGGTCAGGGCTGTCATACAGAGGTGATTGATGGTTGTTGATTGGACTCAGCTTTTCTGCCTGCCTCCTCCACAGCTGTCTGTGTAACTAGAACAGAGGCCCTATGTCCATGCAGAGGTGCTTGGGGAGAATTGTAGGATAGCAGCAGGGCAGAGGGGCCGAGAAGCCCATTTGGGAGCTCAAACCCCACGCTGGCTGTATTTGGAGATATGCTTTACTTCTAAACCTCAGCTTTCTCAGCTATAGAACAGCCGTTTTTTTTTTTTTTTTTAGTACATGTTTGTGGTACATAATTATTACATTCATCGTGGGGCAAGTTGGTATATGACATTGCTTAATTCAGTGTGTGTGTATGTGTCCTGGGAATTTATCTCAGGAACTTACACTTCCCAAGCAGGCACTTACTCTGTTATATCCTCAGCCCTCTTAATTATTTTTTTAACCTTCTTTCCTCCTCCCCTTTGCCATCTCTGTATCTCTTGTACCCCTTCATATACATGTATGTTTTTAGATACCTGTTAGTATGTTTGTAGTACATGATGACCATGTTTCTTGTAGAATTTAGTGCTTATACACAACACTTCGCAATCCTCCATACTCTCACCTTTTTAAAATCTTATTTCTCTCGTCTCCCCTCCCCTTTCCTTTATTTCCTGGTTGCCTCCTTAAGACCCATTTCACTATTTCCCATTGAGGATTTTTAAAATAAATATTAATATGTATAGTCATGTAATCTTCAGAACAGGCCCCTGAGGTTGGTGGTATTATTATAATTTTGCAAGTGAGGAAATTAAGTCTGGAAGAATTTTGGTTTGTTGGAGCCAGGGTCACAAGCTGACAGCCCTAGTGTCCTACCCCTAATGGTAGTTCCTATTTTAGCATTGGTCTGAAAATTAAACAAGACCATCTATATTCAGTATGTAATAAACAATAAATGTTAGTACTGTCCATTCTTATTTTTGTCTAAAAATAATATCATATCTGATGAGTATATTTTTCTGACCTGGAATATAGATAAAAAGCTTTTTAATACAAGAATAAAAATAAAACTACATTTTATCATCCCTTTTATAAATTGATTTTATTAGAAAAATTATATTGATTTGAGATTGCCCCACAAAATGCAAGGTGTGTGGTCTACCCTACATCATTCCAAGGCCCTTCATCTTGGGTGGGTTTTGGCTCTTGTTACCTAGGGATTGATTGCATAAAGTTGGTGGCATAAAGGTCTCATTCATCATGATATTCTACTTTTTAAAATATTTTAAGTCTGGACAGCACAACTGCCACCTGGTGCCTGCCTGGCACGAAGCTGAGCCTCAGTCCCTGGCTCCCTCTGACTTGACCCCCAGATGTCCTACTGTCTCTGCAGGTAACTCTGGACCTGTCCCAGCACCACGACCTGGTAGTGCGCAGGGTCTTGAGCACAGAGGCCAACGTGGTGAGAAAGTTTGGTGTCGCAGACTTCCCATCTTGCTACCTGCTGTTTCGGAATGGCTCTGTCTCCCGAGTCCCTGTGTGAGTGCAACGTCTTCCTGTCCTCTCTTTTTCTCGCTCCCTACTTTTACCCTTCCTGCCCTGAATGCCAAAGCCCTGGCACACAGGTTCTTTCTCTTTGGAGAAAGAGGAGCAACAGTGCAGGAAAAGCAGATGTTAGCCTCTCCGTGGAGGACAGGGGCAATAGGGCCCCAGTGCTATAGTCTCCCACGGTCCTACCTCAGCTCTGTCCCTATTCCTCATCCTCTGTCAACACACAGACTCACTGGCAGGCTGCAGGCCTGGCAAGGACTCAGATATGCCTGACCCTCCTTTTGGTTTTCTAATTGCAGAAAAGTCCATTAGGAGCCAGACAATAGCCTATTCCAAAATCTGAGAGAAAACAATCAGGCCAGCCTTAGCCCCTCTGTCAGGCTCCTGCTGCTGAATGGCCCACTAAATGGCACCAGATGGTGCCTCAGTGCCCTCCTTGGGCAGATGATTGATGTCAACCTGGCCCTGCCTTTTAGAGCTTGAGGGCAGGGAGATCAAAGCTTGCCGAGGTGCCCATTGAGCTGCTCCTCAGGGCATTAGTGCCATCCTGTGATGAGACTGGGCAGGGCAGCCACTTGCCTCTGCTCTGGCTCAGTTCACCAGGCAGCATTGGGGCAGGCCTGTCCGAGAGTCAGGAAGCATCCCAGCTGCAGGGGCACAGGGAGGATGAGATTAGGAGCAGGCCCAGAAAGTGCCAGCCCTGGTAAGGAGAGAAGGCATTGTTTCCTTACTTGGAGTTGGCAGAGGAGAAAATCGTTTGTGACGATGCCGCTCCCCAGCCATCTGCTCGTCGATAAACACTGGGCCGGGACAACAGAGTGGAAAGCAATGCTTCCTGATGCCAGCTCCCCTGGGGCATCGTACCACACTGCTGTTGGGCTGGGCATCTCTGCCTCCGGGTGGCCTGACCCTGGTGAGTGAGAGGACTTTGTGTTCAGGAGACAATTCTTGCTTTTGAGGACTCTGCTGAATCTGAAGGGATAGAAATCAAAAGCTTCTTTGTTGTTAATGCTATTTTATTAAAAATCCACATCAAACTCCTTTGACTTGGAGGCTAATGTCATCTCATGGTACTTGTGAGTGAGCACCTGCTTTGAGGTCAGCTCCTTTTGAAACTTGGGTCTGAGATAGGTAGCTAAACCCAGCTAGTGTTGTCCACGGACAGATTTTTTTTTCAGTGCTGGGGATCCAGCCCAAGACCTGATGCCAGTTGGCAAGCACTCTGCTCAACTCTTCATGGGCACAGGACTGTCCTACAGAGGCTGCCTGGCCTTCAGGCACTTTGTCCACAGCTTGTCCAAATTGTGGCCCTGCCTGGAGTCTCAGAGTAGGTTGTGGGATTCTTTGGTCTAGCTGCTGTTCCAGGTGATGAGGCCATACTAGACTGATATCAAGGAGGTTTTTCCAGGGTGTGCAGTGAATAGAAGGGGTGAATGAGGCCTTGGTAACCTAATTTTGACCTCACCACAGGTGAAATGGAACTAAGTTCATATATTTCTTGCTAAGTGTGTTGGGAGAGCCATCCTCCTTGCTCTGCTGACATTGGTCAGCCCTAGGATTTGCTCTTTGTACCTATTGCTTCCTCTGTGCTCTCTTCCCTCACAGGCTGGTGGAGTCCAGGCGCTTTTATACTGCTTACCTGCAGCGGCTCTCTGAGGTCACCAGGGAGGGTACCCCAACCCCAGCTGTACCGACCATTTCTGACCAGATAGCACCTACAGTGTGGAAATTTGCTGATCGGTAAGGCCATACCCCTCATACAGTGGCCTCCACAGACCACACCTCCTTCACTCTTGTCTTATTCATCCTGTTCCTATCACGGCTGTAGCACCTGCTATTCAGAGCATTGTGTTCCACCTGACCCCAGAGTCTGGCCTTGACCTTTGGGGTGTGCCAACTGCTAGCCATGCACAGGGATGCAGCAGTTAAATGGTGGCTGTATGGGAGCGTAACAGTTAATTGGTGGCTTCTCGGGTAGCTGCTGCCTGGCCCCAGTGGTGAATGTGGGGAGTCCTGAATAGCACACTGTGTTACCTTTAGTGATGGAAAACATACTGTGCAGTCAGTGCCCGATGACGTATGCATCCCCATATTACCTCATTTGGTCATGAAGCTACTGCTTCAGGAGATAGCATGGAGATAAACTGAGGCCTGAGAACATCAGAGTGGGATGCAGAAGGAGGATGTTGCCCTTAGGGAGCACAGGTTGAAACTGTGCTCACCTTGTTGTTGGCCTTGCTGGCTCTCTCTACCTTCAGGAGGTAGATTTGGTAGAGTGAGTGATTTCTTTTATAGGCAAAGTAAAGTAGGTTGTGTTGCCCAAGTTCACTGAACTAGCTCTCTCTCAAGGTGAGACCAGAACCAGGTCTCAAGGTACATAGAGAACAGCCAGGGCTCTTCTCATCAGGCCTGAGCCCGGTCCCAAGTGGGCCTGATGGGCATGGGTGGCTTGGCCTGTTGGATCTCCCAGCCTCTCCCCAAGGCGTGATGGACTCTTGAGATCTGACAGCTGTGAACAGCTCCTCAGCCTGGAAGGAAATCCAAAGCCTGCTGCCTACCTGGCCCCTCTACTGCTCCAGCCCCAGCCTTGCTGGGCAGCTGCACCTCCAGCCTTCACAGCAGGCCCAGCTTCTCCAGCACTGTTTGTGTACACTGTTGGTCTATCTGCCTGCCCGCCCCTCGGAGCTTTGCTCAAAACAAAGAATAAAGCTCAGCCTCATGAGGACCTGGTTAGTGAGCACAGGGATGGCTCCAGGACTGGAGAGGAGAAATTCCTTGCCACAGTGTACACTTTTATTTGGTCCTCTCAGCAATCTACTTATGAGTAAAGTGCTGTTATTCCTATTGTATAGGAATTTTTTTGTATAGGAATTAAGCCTCAAGAGAAGTTAAGTTAGTCACTCAAGGTCACTCAGAGAATTATTAGCAGAGCCAGTGCTAACTTAGAGGACTCTGCCATCATCAAAACCCTTTCTTTTCTGTCCCATTAGTCCTGAGGCTCTTCCCTAGCCCCTGCCTGGTGGCTAACACCCCTCTTCCTCTCCCTTCCTCTGGGTTTTCAGCTCCAAGATCTACATGGCTGACCTGGAATCTGCGCTACACTACATCCTGCGGGTAGAAGTGGGCAGGTTCTCTGTCCTGGAAGGGCAGCGCCTGATGGCCCTGAAAAAGTTTGTAACAGTGTTGACCAAGGTGAGCAAGGCCATGACTGCCCTCGTTCCCACAGTTCCACATGTGATAGAGTGCAGACCTGTAAACCACACACTGTGCCCGCCCTCCCTCCAGGACCTGGCTGTATACCTGGGTCTCAGCTGTCCCTTTCCATGGTGGCTGCTGTCCTCTAGTCAGCTGTACCCCACAGCAGCCCTATACTACTAGGAACATGCTGCAGCATGGGGGTGGGGACAGGCCAGCCATGCTGACACCTGTTCATGACTTGTCACTTCACTTACCTGCTTGATCCTTCTACTTCACTCGAGTCTTAGAGTGTGTCCCTGGGAAAGTAGGATCTCTGGAATACAGCAGTGAAGAGAATGCTTTCCTGAAACTCCTCTCCTGCTCAGTGTGACCAGGTCCCCTGCTCTAGCCCTGCCTGCCATACTCTTGTGGTTGCCTAGGAAAGTGTCTGCTCCATGGAGTAGAGCTTCTGCTTATTGAGGATCTATTGTCTGTTTAGCATTCCATTCTCTTGCCCCTTCCTGTACCTTCTCTGGGTCCAGATCCACTGCCCGTGCTCCCCTGCTTAAACCGAGGGCTGCTGAGTCATGTGCAGCACTAGTCTCCTTCAGGGCTGACTTCTGTCATCCTCAGGCTATCTGTGACTGTCCTTGGGCTCCTGTGTGCTCTCCCCAGGGACTTCCTGCATCTGTCCCTTTTTTCCACCTCACTAGTCTTCACTCTCCTGGCTCACCTGGCTTAGTGAGATACCCTTGTGAGTACACTGAGAGGACCCTTGAAGGGTGTGGTAGCCTAAAGCATGACAGCTTCAGTCCCTCTTATTGGTCCCCTCCAGAATTGAACCTTTCTGGTAATAAAGACCTGAAAGAGACCTGAGTGCTGCTTATTCCTGAGGCAGACAGCTGGGCACCCAAGAGAACAATCTCAGAGCAAGTCTGTGTGCCTTCCTCCCACCCCTAGCATGTTCTCCTAGTAGACCTCAGGAGATAAAAAATTTAGTCCAGTCCAGTCCATAGCACAGGAAATCTCCCAGGGCAGCGGTTTCCTGTGTGCTCTACCCACATCTCTCAAATGTACACAAAACTGGTTTTGAGTGTGGCCTCTGTTGAGGCTGTTTGCAGCCAGACTGAAAGTACCTGAGTTGAATGGAGGCTTCAGTGACACTTTAGGGTGTACCCACCCTATTGCTTGCATCCCATGCTTCACAATGACTAGGAAGACTGAGAAGCGAGGCTGACAGAGGACAAGATGACCTTGGAGCAGAAGGAAGCCAGCTTCTAGAGTGGGAGCAGAGGCCATGGGCATTGAGCTCCTGCTTGACCTTTGTGTGCGTATCTGCCTGGAGACTGCGTGTTCCGGCCTCAGCCATGCGTAAATAGCTGCTTCCTGAATAACAACAATAGAAGCAACTCCTTTACTTAAACTGTGACAGGCTGGCAGACTGCACAGTGGCTGTATACTAGTATCTGTTTCTCATGAACTCCATACGTGGGTCCTAGTATACTCTCCATTTTATAGATGAGATGACAGCCCAAAGAAATGAACCACATTATGCAGAGGGGGATCTGCACCCACATCTCTTTCAGCCCCTGCTGTAGACACCTGGTGCTTATTGTCACAAAAAAACTGAAGAGGAGAGAGCTCATTGCAGTGTCCTTCGGCCCTGCCTTCTGTTTTCTCTCACCTGAGCTGCTGGCAGGACTGGCCACTGGGTGGCGTGTGTTCTCCGAGGTTTCCCTGCTCCCTACAGTCCTTTAAAACATCTGTCTGATACTGGCTGAATTGGGATGCCAGGCGGAGGTCAGAAGTGCTGCAGACTTTAGGCTGTAAATCTGTGTATGAGCCCCAGAAGGGGGCACAATAATGCTTCCTCCTCTCTGGCCCCTTCTCATTCTGGAGGAAAGTGTCCAGCCTCTGAGGTCTGATAGGAGTATTTATTTCATGGCTTTCTCAGGAATGGGTCTAGTTACAGGTTTTTTCTATTTCATTAGTCCTATTTCCAGGGTCCTTCTCTTGAATTTTTTTCCTTCACAAGTTTCTTAGTCACTGTCTTCTGTATCTGCCTCTTCTTGGTTTCATCTGACCCGCCTTCTTTTTGCCTCTCCCCACCCCCATGCACACATGTGCACAAACACATATCCTCCTCCCTCGGGTCCTTGTGGTTTCACAGTGCTGATACTAATCAAATTTGAGTTGACTTGATTGCCAAAGTAGATTTTCATGTTCCTTAGAGACTACTAGGAGTTGCCATCAGGATTTGGATCTTGGCTCTAAGGCCCAGGGCTGGCCTGTCCCACCTGGTAGCCTGTGGAATACACATGCAGGGTGTTCTGCTAGCTAAGCCCAACCAGTCAGCTGCCTCACCAGAAGCCACCTAAAGAGAGGAAGTGGGAACAGTTTTCTCATCACTCCTGGGAAGTTTCACAGAGAACAGGTCTTCTTCCCGGTTGAGCCTGAACCTTGAGGGAAGAGACCTTTATTTAGGGCCTAGCCCTGCTTAGGGGATCCCCTGCCACACCCTTTCCTGTAGCTTATAAGGATGCTCCAGAGCAATGGTAGTGAGGAATCCACGTTTGTGCTTCAGGCAGAATATTTTCTTGGTGGTTTTGGAACATTCTAGAAAACCTGCTTTGGCCCACTTCTGTACAGCCCCCAACCCACTGAAGAGATTAAAACTTGACAGAATGGCTTTTCCCTCTCCAACTCCACTCTTTTCCCTTCACAGTACTTTCCTGGCCAGCCCTTGGTCCGGAACTTTCTGCAGTCCACAAATGAATGGCTTAAGAGGCAACACAAAAAGAAAATGCCTTATAGTTTCTTTAAAACTGCCATGGACAGCAGGAATGAGGTGAGTCTGGGAGGCAGACGAGTATGTCCCCATTCTTGATATTTATGGGACTAGAAAAGGGATTAACACTGTAATCTCTAGTTTCTTCCACCAGTTAGTATTCAGGAAGATGTTACAAATCTTGGTTGGATGTGTCTGTTAATAAACAAACTGTTATGTATTGAGTTCTTCATTCATAACTCATTAAATCCTCATAAATTATCTTAGTGAAAGGTAGATATCCCTGCTTAGCAAACAAAAGAACAGAAGTTAAGAGACTAAATAACGTCTGAGGTGCCAGTAAGTGGCTGGGCTGTGATTAAAAATCAATGAGAAAGGGTGGAAATGCATCTTAGTCATAGAGCACTTGCCTAGGATAAACAAACTCCTAGGTTCAGTCCCCAGTACTACAAATAAATAAATGAAAAGGCAGTGGAACACTAGAGTTTTTTTAACTGCCACTGTCTGCTGTACTCCTCAGCATGGCCTTCTCCAGGGCTCCTGCTCATGCCACGGGGCCACTGCAGCCAGCATGTGTGCTGGCTTGTGTCCTTGTGGACTTGTAGCGTCAGAGTTTGAGGATTAGCCCCTTTGTTTTGTAGGTGGAATCCTTGAGGCTAGAATAAGTGTATAACTTGTTCTGTACCATAGATTTTCAGATATACTGATCCGTGGTGGTTGGGTGAAACAGGTTGAAGGGAAGTGCCACATTTGAGGTGACAGAAAAGGACTTCATTTGTCATGGGACTATATGCTGTCATTTAACTAGCCCGGAAGCTGTTCTTTTCATCTCCCCTTGTCAGCCTTTTTTCCTCCACTATGAACTCACGCTCCTGATGTATCCCTTAGGAGGCGGTTATTACCAAGGAGGTGAATTGGGTTGGCTGCCAGGGGAGTGAATCGCATTTCCGGGGCTTTCCCTGCTCCCTGTGGATCCTGTTCCACTTCCTGACTGTGCAGGCGAGTCAGAAAAATGCAGAGTCCTCCCAAAAGCCAGGTAAGCCCAGGATCTGGTCACCCCACCATGTACCAGTGCTGCCCTTTCCTGCCCTTCACAGAAGGGTGGGTCAGTGTCATTGTGGGAGCTGCATCAGGATCTTTGAATTAGCAGCTGGACACAACAAGCATGGGAACCAGTCTCAGTGTGTAGAGCATTTTGAGAATCCACCCAGCCCTGCCCCTGCCTCTGTGGTAGTATCCCTGAAACTGGGACATGAGACCACCCCATGGCTTTTAACATTGAGCAGGTGGGCAGCTGATTCAGTATACATCTATTGAGGAACTAGGTTTATGTCAGGCCCTAGCTCAGTTTGCAGGATACAAAGGTGTAAACAAATATTCCTACTTTCAGTGGACTGTCTGATATGTGATGGGGTAGACGGAGGTTCCTTGCTATGTACGAGGGCCAAGAGCCAAGGGAGAAAAGCCTATGTGGGTTAAATGGGGTAGACTCAGTGTTGCTGGAGAGAATAAGAGAATTCTCAGGGGACCAAGATGGAAGCTGCTGGGTGGAAAGGAATTCAGCTTGGAAGAAAGTGCTCCTGGACACTGGAACAGCCTGCCAGAGGGAGCGGGAACCCGAAGGGCTGCTGTCAGATGCAGAGCTGGAGTTGGTCAGTCTGTCAATATTACACAGAGAATCGCCACAGTACCAGCCTCCACTGCAGGCTGCCATCACTCAGGTGGCCATGATACAGTACCCTCTGAGGCCTGCAGGGGTCAGTGGTCAGTGGCAAGACAGACAGTAAACACAAATAGGACATTTTGGGTGTAATGATGCAGGCTGTGAGGAAGACAAAGCAGAGTGTTGAGATCCTGTGCTCAGATGGCAGGGACAAATTCAGCTCCTGAAACAAGCCATGATAGTGGCTCATACCTGTAATCCCAGCACTTGAGAGGCTAAAGCAGGAGGATTGCCTTGAGTTCGAGGCCAGGCAGGGCTACATAGTGGGACCCTATGTCCAGAAACAAAACAAAACACACACACACAAATAGGCCATTGACCAGCAGGTGCAGAAAACAAATATGATGTGTTTTTGTAGTATTAGAAGATGGCCATAAAGGCTAGGGCCAGGAAGTAAGGGAGGTTAGTGCCTGGGCGTGGGGCCTTGCTAAGGGAGTGGTTTCCACCCTGTATCTTAGAAGAAGAAAATACCAGAAGATTTCATGGGGCAGTGGCACAGATGAGCAGTGCTTTAGAGTGATTGCTTGGTAGAGATAGGGATGGAGAAGCTGTGAAAATAGGTTAGGAGCTGTGGGCTGCACTGGAGCTGTGGAGGGAGTGGTCAGGGTCAGGAGGTTATGAAGGCAGAGCTGACAGCACATGGAGAGGGCAAGAATACGTGGGAACAAGGACAGTAGTTGGTCGGAGATCCCTTTATTGTGAGGGACCCGAGCCCTGCTGGGTGATGGTCCTGATGTACTGAGCAATGGGAAAGCCCCTAAAGGGGCGGCAGAATCAGTGGCCTCATATGTGCCTATCTGGCCCCTAAACATATTCTGGATTCTAGACTTTGGGGGGACATACAGGCTAGAGAAATCAGCTTTGTGGTCATTCACACATAGCTGACAGTCACAACCACAGGACTGGGTGGGCTTCCTAGCAGAAGGTAGAGGAGAGTGCTGAGGACCGAGTCCTGGAGCCCTGGAGCATTTAGACTGCTGCTTGGAGCTGGAGCCAGGGCAGGAGCCTGAGCAGCCCGGGCGGTAGTGCACAGTCAGCCCTGTGCAAGCTGCTGGAGGTGCTGCAGATGAGGGCCTCCCTGGCAAGAGCTGGCTTGTTTTTTAGGGGGAGGGAGATAATGGCCTGGTTGGACCAAGCTAGAAAGCAACTAGAAGGTAAATACTGCAGAAAATGGGCAGAAGTGGGGAATAACTGGGTCAGGGAAGGGATTTTGTTATTGTCACTGTTTTCACCAGTTGGAATGGTCCCATGTTAAGGGAGAAATTAGTGATACAGGAAGAAAATGTTTATGGCAAGTGGCAGCTGTGCCTGGGGTGGGTGCAGGAGGAGGCTGGTGTGGGCGCTGACATCGCCACGGCTGATGGCATGGATGGGTAATGAGTGTTGTGGAGAGTGGCGTGTTGAGGTCCTGGTGGATGGAGGGGTGGACAAGAGATTGGCTTTTAAAGGAGAGGAGTGGACACTGCATAACAGTAGGGAGAGTCTGGTGGCTCCCAGCACCTCTGAGGTGTGCGGAGTACAGGAGAGATGAGGGTGGGAGGAAGGACAACTTGGAAGAGGAGCAAGAAGGCAGGGGAGTTAACAGAGGACTTGGAGGTCTGATGCCAGTCTCCAGAGGGTCCAGTGAGAGGGCACTGGGGGGGGGACAGAGACAGACTGGGGCGTGTGCAGGTCTGAGCAGACAAAATCCCTGAGCTAAGGCAAGTTGCAGAGTGAGTGAGAACAGGCAGCGTGAGGCTGGTGGGTGGAGGAGGGCCGTGGGTGGAAGCGGAAGCACCTCGGCCTCTGCTGGCTCTCCAGCCAAGCACAGAGCCTGGATGCCCTGCTAAAGAATATAATGAGAGCCGGATGGTGACCGAGGAGAACTAGGGTCCAGGAGGTTTTGGAGGAGATAGAATCATCTCTAAAGAGGCCCCCAGCTGAGTGTAGGGGCGCATGCCTGTAATCCCAGCAGTCAGGAGGCCGAGGCAGGAGGACCACTGAGTTCGACGCCAGTCTGAACTACATAGTGAGACCCTATTAAAAAAATAAAGTGGTCCTGCAGACATGGAGATCCTGGATCCCTTGTCACACAGACTGCGATGTGAAGCATGTGTGCAAGGGCAGCAGAGCAGAGTTGGGAGGGCAGGCAGCCTGTGCATGGCTCCTCCTCTGCCCTGTAGCCAATGGCCAAGAGGTCCTCCAAGCCATCCGGAATTACGTGCGCTTCTTCTTCGGCTGCCGCGACTGTGCTAACCATTTTGAACAGATGGCTGCTGGCTCCATGCATCGGGTGAAGAGTCCAAATGATGCGGTTCTCTGGCTCTGGACGAGCCACAACAGAGTCAACGCTCGCCTTGCAGGTAAGGAAGGGCCACTCCAAGGCTGCAGTCATCTGTGAGGGGTGAGGGTATTTGAGGTCTTGGAGCAAAGGTGGGGGACATTTGCTGTCCCCTTAGCCTGTACCTCTTAGTGCATGGTCTGACAGGCCTAGAAGTCAGTGGCACTACCTTGAGACCATCTTCTGGATAAGGGAACCAACATTGTGACTCTGAAAGACCCTGGTCCTCTGGTGCCAGGGCCCCCCTTGCTGGCCTTTTGGGGTCTCTCCTACTACCCCAGCTCTGCTTACTGGTTGTTGGGCCCTTCCTCAAACTAATAAGGAGAGAGGTAGGGTTTTTTCACTCCCAGGGAAGGATCTCATGATAGAGCTGGAGAAGACCCAGGATCTGGAACAGTGAAGGTGAGCCTACAGCATACATGCCACAGTGGGCTGTTTGTTAGCCGTGAGCGCTCTCAAAGACCTGCCATCACTGGTCTAGAGGTACTGGGGCGAATTTCTCTAAGGGGCAGCCGCGTCTTCTGAGGTTTCCTCATTAAGCACTTTTAGCACTTTCCTTTCCCCAAGCACGGGAGTGTGGAGTGTGGCGAGGCCTCCAGGCAGAAGCACTGGGCTCCCAGGAAGGTGGCTACGAAGGAGCCATCTGTGGGTGGAGGCCCCTTGCCTGTGGGGCTGTGACGGCTTTCCCAGGAGTGGGAGCGCTGGGCGGAGAAGGTTAAGTCCCCAAAAGCAGCAGGCAGTCCTGTGGCCCTGCACTTGGTCAGTGCTCTCCTGACATCCCCCCCATCCTCCCCTCCCCAAATTCTCCATTTGACCTTCCAGCCTCAGGATCTTGCAGGCTTCCAGCTGTCACCAGAGGGCCAGGAGCTGGAGTCCTTTCAAGTCCAACTAATAATTAGCAAGTACCAATTGAGCGCTCACTTTGCGAGGCCTGATCATTGTAGTCACTCACTGGTTCCTCGGAATTTACTTGCTGCCCACGTTGCCCACGCCCCGGAGTAGCCGTACTGATGTTCACATGTCTTGCCGTTGCTGTTGTTTCATGGTGGTCAACAGCTTTTTTCCGTTATTAAATTTTTGAAGAGGGGCACTTCCTGTAGAGGGTTGGGCTGACTGGTATTTCCTGGGCAGTGCTGGGCCAGCAGGCTGCAGCTCTGTATTCCGGACAGCATTTCCAGGCTTCCCACAGCTCCCCGGGAGCCTACCCTGTCCCCAGTGCCATTACACACTGCCTGACACAGGTAGATGGCAGCACCCATGGAGGTGCCACAAGCACTTGTCTTAAACACCGAAAAACAACAAGAAAAACTTCCCTTTCCTTTAATCAGCAAAAGTAATACAGCATTGCTATAATATTCAGAAAAAAATTTAAAAAGAAGGAACGAAAGACCAATCAAAGAGAATAGTAGGTTCCTTTTTCCATTTCTGATCTGTGATACAAATTGGCAGCAAAATCAAAAAGGGACAGTGAGCGTGGGTGCCACTAGGAAGTAGCTGGAATTGCAGGTGCTGGGACGGGGTGAGTGAACCCTCCTCATGGAGAGGGGCCAATGGCTGAGCCCTGCTGCGGGCCAGACTCCACACGGGTCCTTCATGTGTGTCTACCCACCCAGCCTTGCACCCTTTCCTTGGGTGAGGAGCTGGTTTTCTGAGGGGAGAAGTAAGGGTTCAGCTCTTCATCGGCCAGTATGTCACAGCCAGTGTGTGCTTCTCTCCCCAGGTGCTCCCAGTGAGGACCCACAGTTCCCCAAGGTGCAGTGGCCTCCCCCTGAACTCTGCTCCGCCTGCCACAATGAACTCAGTGGGGAGCCTGTGTGGGATGTGGACGCCACGCTCCGCTTCCTCAAGACCCACTTCTCACCAAGTAACATCGTCCTGAACTTCCCTCCAGCTGAACCAGCCTCCCGGAGCAGTGTGCACAGTTGGGGAGCTACCCCACACCTGGAGCTGGATGCTCTGGGACTGGTGACCAGAAACTCAGCTCTGGCCCTTGAGCGGGCTGAAATCTCGGAGTCTCCTGGAAGCAATGCCATGCCAAATATTCCAGCTGAGAGACCTGAGGCAAGTGGGCCCCACATGCTGCACACTGGCCTCCAGCTGAGCAGACTGCCAGGGCAGGTGCTTCCTAAGCATGTAGCAGAGCCCCGGGGGCAGCAACGCTTGACCAAGCGGGACACAGGGGCTGTGTTGCTGGCTGAGTCCTGGCCTGAGCAGAACCACCTCCAGGGCCTTTCAGAACTGAGGCAAGGAGCCCGCAGCTCCAAGCAGCTGGCCAGCATCCTCGAGAGGGAGCCAGAATCCCACGCTGTGTGGGGCCAAGGCCAGTGGCTACAGGTGCTGGGAAGGGACTTTTCCCACCTGGACATCAGCCTCTGTGTGGGGCTCTACTCCCTGTCCTTCATGGGCTTGCTGGCCATGTGTTCCTACTTCCGGGCCAGAATGAGGGTCCTGAAGGGCCATGCTGGTCACCTTGCAGCCTGAGCCTTCTAATGAGGGGAGGGGGCTGCTGTCTGTGGGCACCCTCTGCTCCCTTGCCTTCCCTGCCTCCCCTGTCCACCCAAGAGGGTGGGAAGTCCACCAGGGCCAGTTGCTCCAGTGAACCCCATGTCTGCTGGGAAGGAGTATTTCACAGACGAGAGACAGGAACAGGGTCATGCACAGCTGGCCAGAAAGGGAGGGCAGCCTTGGGTAGGGACTTTGGAAGACACAGGCCCTGGCCTCTCAGCACCAAATTCCTGTTTTTCAGCTTTTTGAAGCCCTGTCCCATTCTCGGTGAAGCCTCAGTCTCTCCTGCTTGGCCCTAGATTGGGGCAAGCCAGCCCAGTTTCCAGGTTGTCTCATCCGTTCACTCCTCTTCCTTCTGGACATGAAGAGAAAGGGCTACCTCTGACCTTCTCTGGCTCGCCCAGCCTCCAGCTCCTCAGGACTCTTTGGGGTTTGGCTTGTGGGGAGGGTGGTCTCCTGGATCAGGGCTTCTGCTGCAAGAAAAATGTAGATTGGGTTATGTGTGGACTTGTCCATGGGACTGTGGGCTGCATGGCTTGCTGGCTGGGTGCTGGTGTGGTGGGGCTGGGTATGGGGAAAGATGCTGGGATCTGCAGTGCTTTGGCTCTAGGCTTAGCCGTGAGAATTCATAAAACATGAGAAAAGGATATGCTTTGGCTTCTCCTTAAGCTGTGCCCGTCTGAGCTGTCTTCTGTCCTTTATATTAGTCTCCAGAATCAGTGCTAACCTTTTGGATGTGGAGGGTGCTGGGGACAATGTCCTCTCTCTCTCCCTTGGTTCCATCTTCTAATAGAGGTTCCGAGGGCCAGAGAGGAGGACAACACTGTACACCCATGCTTCATTCTCACTGTACCCCACCACTTGGGAGAGGTGTGGAATAAATTACTTTTATTAAGGCAAGCACCCGTGTGTTCTTTCACTTGTTCCTGGGACACCGAGTGCCTGGGTCTAGACAGAATGCACAGCGCGCGGCCTCACCTAGCACACACTTCTTTCCTGGGCAGAGGAAAAAGGTGCCTTCCTCCGCTGCCCACAGAGCGCCCTGCACCCCAGCCCCTGCTGCTTCATGTGCTCTGGGGATGCCTCAGTGATGTGCCACCTGCCACCTCCTGCTCCCCCAGCCTCCCTGAGAGCTCCTGTCTCAGCTTTTCCTGGGGTGGGAAGGGAGGGGGACTTGTTTGTCAGGGTCTGGTCAGCTGCTCATCGAGGAGGAGTCAGCGGGGATTAGGGAGCTTGCCCCTAATCCAGTCTGCTGGGTTTTACAAGGATCAGAGCAGCTGATAATGAACCTCATTAAGGGGAGCAGGAGCCTCAATCTGATTTGGGTTTTCTCTGACATCTTTGCTCAGCTCAGACTGGGTGGAGCAGGTGGAATGCCCAGGACACCCTAGCACTGGGGCAGCTGTGATGGGGGAGGTGGCCAGGCAGGGTCCCCTTCCCCTCCTCCCTCTGTGTCATGTGTCCTTTGACCTCTTCAGTTGCCCAGCCCCTAGGCTGCCTGAGACCTTCCTGCTCCCTCCCTCCTGGGTTAGGGGGGCAGAGGCTGACAGGCAAGCACCTGATTAAGCAGGGTGAAGGAGGCACCACCATACAGTACCCACCAGGCCAAAGCTGAGGTATCTGCTCTGACCTCCTGGCTCCTTACACAATGTCAAGTGCAGTGGGTTTCTGCCAGCAAGCCCGACAGCATCAGTGAATACATTTTCCAAAACCAAACTCAGCCATGTAGGTGTGCTGAGTGTTCTTGAGTCTCTGCTGGAAATGCTGTTGTGGGCTGCACCATCTCCGCAGGGCCTAAGGCAGGAGGCAGGACCTTGCTGGGGACCCGCTTTAGGTGTGGGTTTCCCTGTCAGCCAGCCTTCCTCCTTTCTTGTCCCAGCTGCTCTGATTGATAGGTGGGTGGGCCTCCTCAGCAGGACCACTGCCTTTCACCTTGATTTCCCCAGGGATCTTGTCCACAGTTTTGATAAACCAGGCTGCCCACCAGCTGGTCCCCTCCCTACCCTAGGCTGCTAGGCTGGAGCTGAGGTTTGCTGTGTCTAGCATGACTTACTAGGTTTGTTTTTCTCTGTCTCTGGGGTGGCTCCTGTGGCAGGGGTGGGCACCCAGGGGATCTCTGCAAAGCAGAGTCTTCTTCTCAGATCCAAGAAAGAAACTCACCTCTGTCCAGCATACCACCTCATAAGGGTTCGGGAATGATTCGTTCATGAAGATGAAGGCTGAGCTGGGCTTTGAAGGGTAGATAGGTGTTAGTGAGACAAATAAGGAAGAACATGTATTAGAGGACAAAGTATATGCCCAGTTCAACAACAACAACAAGCAGAGAGATTTCATTTAAGAGTTAAAGATTTCCTCAATGCTGCACTGGGCTGGAGGCTGGGAGTAGGGCAGAGGAGAGATAGTCCCTTCTGTTCTGTAGTTAATATTCTAGAGAAAAGTAAGAATGAGAAGAAATTCCAGACTGTGATAAATGCTCTGTGAGGGATAGAACCAACCAGCGAAGGTGTTAGGGATATCTTCACTACTCCCCGCCCTGGTCCAGGACATGAAGGCAGGAAGAAGGGCTGAGGCTGGAGATCTGTGTGCAGCTAGGTAGGGACCGCAGCCCTAAGGGATACTTCAGTCCAGGAGGCATGGCCCCCTTCTGCCTGGCTGGGCTCCAGTAGTGTTGCCTCAATTCAGGAGGGAGCCTTTAAGTCTAGGCTCAGTGGTGGTAGAATCACTTCCATCCCTGGAAGAGAATAGACTCGCTTTCAACATGTACTAGCTGTGTGACTTTAGAAAAGCTAATTTGCTTACTGAAGTCTGCTGACTAGTGGAGATAAACCACCTAACTCACCATCATGATGTCATACTGAGTAGACAGATTGCTACAGACTCAAGGGGCCCCACTGGTCAGCGGTCACCAATGACACCGCATGTTCTGTGAAGATATCTCTGGAGTTGTTCCTCCAACCCTTGAGCCACCCTAGCAGATGCTGCTGTCCAGGGCTCAACTGAGGTATTGAGGGAAATAACTCCTTTACTGCTTCCATTCAGTAGTAGTGGAGAGATCTACCAGAAGGGCTCTTGAGCCCTGGATTCAATTTTAGAAATGTTTATGCTATTGCAGAATCAATAACTACTGTTACAGTTTATGTCTAGATGTCCCCCTTAAAGCCTCATAGAGTCATGGGGGCAGGCTTCTAGAGTTTGTGATTGATTCATGGTCCAGTGCTGGGATTACGGGTGTGAGTGCTCACCCACCCTGGGGCAGGCAGCCTGCATACAGTATAAGGGAGGGAGAGTGTTGATCTCTCTGTGCTCCTCCCTTTTTGCTGTCTTCCACTACCATGAATGGTTGCCCCTCTGCCACACTACCCTGCTTGGAGCCAGCTGATTATGGACTGAAACCTTCACAAACTGTGAGCTAAATAAACCTTTCTTCATTTTAGGTGTCAGGTATTTTGTCTCAGAAACGAGAGAAAAGTAAGACAACTACCATTTGTAATCTTTGCACTCATTTAAATTTTTATTTTTCCAACAAATCTAGTTGAAGAATTGAGGCTTGAAGAGATTAACAAGTTTTCCATGCTCTCTTCTGTCACCAAAATAAATTGTCGTAGTTCTCACAAATGTCAAGAGATGGATCCAAGACTTGAAATGAGATCTACCTCCTCCAAATCCTGGAGCCGTGATTTCTCTGCTTTCTTATATATACTATTTCATGTTCTCCATTTAGAGCAGTTGCAGGATTGTCTCTGTGGTGATCTTGGGGCTAAATGTGACTGTCAGCCCTCACATGGTAACATTAACTACCCTTTTGGATTTTAACTACCCTTTTGATGCCCTGAAGACTGTATGGGATAATTTTAGAGTATGTCTCTTGTGTTTTGGTGGCAGAGAGTGGGGTTGCCCTTCAAAAATCCACCTTCTCTAGGTCGATTCCCTGAACAGAGTCAGAAGTGTTCTGTCTCAGATCCATGGAGGATTGGGGTCCTTAAAGTTGAAAGAGGGGTCACTGACCAGCCGTGCATGAACTTGGGAAAATGACTTCCCTTGCCTCAACTTCCTCATCTGTAAAATGAGGCCACAGGCTTAGTTTGCCCATCCTTCTCTCTGTGGTGCTCAGTGGGAGGAACAGGGAGGGGCTATCCTGGCAGTACCTTCCTTGTACATGGGTGGGTGGGGACTCCCAGGTTGAAGGGACCCACCACCTGTGTGAACATCATCCTGATAGGATCACAGGATGCTGCCTGACAGCTGTGTACAGAGTACCCTTTAGCCCCTCAGCCCAACACTGCATAACTCTTCCCCCACAGGCTGCCCTGAGTCCCTCCTTTACCCTGGCACCCTCCCTTCCCCTCCACTGAGCTGCCTGCCTCCTCTGTGGAGGCTGCTGTGTGAGCAGGCTGGCGGGATTCCTACCTCAGCTTTAAGAACTGAGCCAAAGCCCGAGAGAAATGTGGAAGCTGGGCACCTCAGCTCTTTGTGCTTGCTTGTGCTGCTCACAGCACAGCAGGGCCCAGGAGAAGCTTCTGTACATCCAGCAGGCCTTGCTCTCCCCCTTCGTTGCTGCCCCTCTTGGGGGGTCATTCACCCCCAAGAGAGAAAACATTGCCCTTTTCATTCCTCCTAGCCTTCCCCCAGGTCTCAGTCTTCCTGACTGACCACAGAAATGTGGTATCCTTTATAGAGAAGCTAGGTGTGCTGGTGACTGCCTGTAATCCTAATACTCTGGAAGGTTGAGGCAGGAGGATTACAAATTTGAGCCCAATATGGGCAATTTAGTGACTTAGGAAGACACTGTCTCAACAGAAGATAAAAAAAAAAGAGCTGGGGATGTAGCTCCGTGCCCTGGGGTCAGTCTCCAGCACCACTCAATAGAGAACGGCTGGGCCCTTTGGGTTCCAGTTCCTGCAGAAGAGGCAGTTTCCTCCTGGAGGAGCACAGCCCAGGCAGTGTGTGCTGATGGCTGCACGGAGGGCAGTGGGGGCCTTGTGGGCTAGAGCTTGTCTCGGCACCTCACCAGCCTCTTCGCTGGAGCTTTCACAGCTGCCCTGGGAGGGAGTACAGGTATGGGCCACAGAAAAGCGCCTGGATAGCACAGAAACAGGTGGGGACCTCTGCAAACGTGGGCGCAGAGCTGTGGGCAATTGAGGGAGACTGACAAGCATCTAAAAGGAAGCTCACCTGACAGTGCTGGTGACTGACTCCCTGGTGTGAGAGCAAAGAGCCTTTCCCGACCC